GCGACGCGGCCTGTTCGTTACGTATATAGCTGGAAGCCGCTGAAAAATTTAACGCGACCGAAGGGAATCATCCCTCAGCGCGCGTACTTCTGTGTTTTTACTAATAAATAATAGTCCTTTTCTTTTTTTTTTTTGTTTTTTGAAGCTTAAGATGGTTGGAAAATGTTTATGAAGGGACGCTTGGAATTTCAGACGGTATGACGGACTTTGACGGGTATACCGTCGGTAGATCGGCGGGGAAATTTTATGGCACCCGGGAATTTACGATAGTATTCCAGATGGGACAATTAGGCGACGACGGGGTACGGACGGGCCGTCTAAAATTCCAGTGCTCTCGCGCGAGAGGTCCAAAGTTTTAAAATAAAAGACGCGCAGAGGATTATCACTCGCGGACGGGTGGGGGGAGGGAGGAAAACCCAGGATGGCCGGTGCAATATCGAATCAGAGGATTCCAGCTGTTTTAGAGCACCCGCGCGTGCCCATCCAGGCTATCGATCCCTCCTATCTCTCTCTCTCTCTCGCCGTGCCATTAATTTCGCTAATGGTCGCTCTTCGCTAATCAATGCAACAGCCCCTCAGGAGAGTGTATTGGTGCACTTTTCCCCCTATCTTTCTTTTTGCAGTTTAATTACTCCGGATCCACACGTTATCGCTACTTTCACACTCTACGTGGCTACACTCTTTCGCGCGGAATCCAGCGCTTGTGTGTATATCTGCCGATTCTGAATGTATTTATGCGCGTATCTCCAACTAATGAGACGCACCATGGGAGTGTCGTCTTTAATGATAATCATCTGGATTAACACAACTTTTAACACTTGCTTCCATCCGCAAAGGATCAAAATTATCGATTGCTTTTCCTTAGACGCATTTTAGCTGAGGTGTGTTTAGGAACCTATAGCCATTTGATTGTTGTAAGAATGTCAATGATTCACAATCGATCACACGGATGTCGATGGTGAATAAATGACAACGAATTCACCTGTAATATAGCAATCCCAGGCAGCTCGGACAATCGCCCCTGTCGTTCCATTACGGAGAGGAGCAGAGACGCAACGCGATATCCTCGTGGCCGTCAATTCAGCTACGATCAATCAATCTCTCGTTACCATTACGACCACCACCACCACTACCCTCCTCCTCCTCCTCCTCCTTTACTGTTATCACACTACCGGCATCTCCCCAGGCCCACCTACTCGACAGTTTACGTACACAAAGGCGCCATGTAGCACAGTTGCCCGCGTCTCTGCTGCGTATAGGTATTCATACGGGTGGAGAGTACGATGCGCGCCACCGTTGGTGATGCTGTCGATTTCTATTTGTCGCTGTCGAAAGCGAGTTGTACACGACGTTTGCTGATGGCTGTGCTTGTAGTAGCGCCTTAAGGGGACCAAAAGTGCCATTTTCGGCGGATCCTAGTGTATGGTGGAGCTAACTTGATGTCTCTACATTGCAGGGCACACGGAAAAATTGCAATCCTCAAGTTTTGTGGTATCGAGGAAATTTTTCGATTCGACGAAAAAGAAAATTGTAAGAGGATGTCTTTGGTAAGAGTTACAGTTGACAGCGTCAAGAGGGCTCGTACCTATACGATCGAGTGAGTGTGCCTTTCAATTTCCGAGCTGTAGAATAACTGTGCAAAGTGCCACTCACGGTATAAGTATCTCTCACGTCTTGAGATAAAGTTTCGACATCGAGTAACTAGTTTACCTCGATAAGACGTCACTTTACGACGCTTTTATACCCTTTTATTGATACCCATCGCTTTAAAAAAAAAAAAAAAAAAAAAATTTATGAACGCGACGTGAGATGCGATAAGCATGTGTCAGCCACCTCTGCGTATGCGTCATCGTGTGACAGTGCACGACAAATTTACCGTGAGTTATACAATGCTGGATCTTTTTATTGATTTATTTTTTTTTTCAAAGTTAAACAGTCAACGAGCAATATTTTTCCAATATAGAGACTTGTATGGTGAGGGAAGAAGGTTCTTCGAAAACACCCGAACGATGACAGCTGATCTAAATCCATCGACACTCGGTTCGAAATGCTGCATCTCATATACGTATGTATACGAAGAGAGTACGTATACAAGTACGCCTTGAGACATATCGCTTTCATTGTATCATAAGAGATAAAATACAGCGATGACAAGTAAGAGAAATATTCGATAAGATTACGGAGCACGCCAATAAACGTTCCTCTCTTTCTTCCACTCTATTTACACTCGTGTGTCGTGGCGTGGGGTGATACGGAGCACATTTATGTACGCACTCGATTGCCGACGTGTATCACCAATGGTATGGGTATATCGATGTCGTTTAGCTTAAGAGACGTATATGTACGCGTTGCATAAAATAACAATTACAATCAATTTTTATCCATACGCGAGAATTTTTTTATTTTTTTATTTTTTTTCACTGGAAAAGCAAACTCGTGCTCTGAATCATTTTAGGTATACGAGCATCGCGCACATAATCATTGGAAAGAAGAGTGACCTTTTTCGAATAGTGACATCGATACTCGGCCATTGCGTATTAAAGTAAATACTTGCATTGTTTGAAAAGTAATCGATCTCTATTGGTCAGACAGCACCGTCTCTTCTACTAAAGTCTGAAAAACAAATTTTCAGTGCAGCAAAAGGAGTGCATGGCCATGTCCATTTGTCACACCTTGAAATTCAATAATTGCGATAAATGGATAATGACGTAAGACGAAGAACTGGCTTACATCAAAAACAAAAACAGGAAGTACCGGCTGTAAAAACAAGGAGAGAAAACACGAATAGTTCGTCACGGGTATCACCGGAACACCTGGCCCGCGGCGCGCGTCTTTTCTCTCCAGACGGGACAAAAAAAAAAAAAAAAAAAAAAAAAAAAAACGACTGTAACGCAGGTTTTTGCGCCCAACTTTTGCGAAAGACGGACGCACCTCTACAAATCAATCAATCGGCGGCGGCGCAAGCGGGCGACTGACAGTGCGACGAAGAACCTGTTTTTTGCACCTATAATACCGTCACTGTTAGCTTCTGCAGCTCATAGTTATGTATACACTCGAGCGACTCGTTCCACCTTCTTTGTCTTTCTCCGTCTCCTATACCGCTCGAGCTGCTTGTCTTTCCAGTCCCCCCCCTTTTTTTTATCTTTTTTTTTTCGGGGCCAAAGAACTAGTATAATGACTGCTCCGTACGGTGGAGTACAGGGAAGATTCTGGGGATTAATTTATGAAGACTGGTCTCGTCTTGCTGACCCTTTTATGTACTTTATACTCAAGATCTCGTGATCGCGAATTCGATTTTTATTAGTACTCTGATTAAACTCTGGCATTACATTACCGAGCACTTTTAGTCTCAGTGTAGAAACATAAAAAAAATATGTAGCCCGTACAAGTGACAGATAGAGTCTGATAACTCGTTTTTTATGTAATGTGAGGTAAGTGTGTATTCCTCCAACTTTTAAGTGATGGGTAATTTCCAATCGTATAACTCAAACGAGTGAACAAACAAATACACAGCCAAACGATACGTATACCGTCAACTTGGATGGTACTCTTGAGCACTGATACCCATTTCGCATCATCGATTAATCAGGCATCAACTAAATTATTGGTCCTATCAAGGCCTAATTACCCTTTAATTTGATCAATTAAAATTAATCAGCCCAACGACGTGAGTATACTCATACGTATCGGTGTACGAATCCAAAGCGAATCGCACCACCACTTGATATTTGAATTGGGAATCTCCCGATTACGCGGGTACGAACAAACTTTTTAATCAAGTGTAACGATAAATCCCTCGGGCATGCGTCATCATTATACATGCACTCAAAATTGGTCGATGATAATAGACACGATACACAAATTTATGTGATGTGCGAATCATATCTTGGAAAAAAAATTTGCTTGGTTTTGACGCTCGTGAAACCGATGTCAGTACGTTTTTCCTCCTTACGCGAGCTTGAGCGGCTCATCGATCGCGCGACAGTACAAGAGCTGACCATAGCCAACAGCGGAGACGCCACCGAAGCCAAAAAAAAGCATCGTATCGTTCGAGGGTTCAGCTGACCCCGAAAGGTTACAATTGTGTATTTAGTGGTGTGGAAGCGGTAGGAGGTGAGTTTTAGAAACAGACGAAGCCTCGGCAACCGATTCCATTCCATGTATACACTGGTAACACGGGACAGCCGCGTCTGTCCAGTTGTGAGGAGATGGTAACACGTGCGTATACAACAACACTTAAATTAAGTAGAAAAGTAGAGAAAGAGACAATGCACATTCCTTAGCTACTCACTAATCGGTAACCCACACCTAAACAATTGGGGAGGGAGAGGGGCTCAGTCGATATCTACTGGTGCTACGTACACTACTGATGTATACACATAGTACACATTTTTTTCCGGCTCTCGTGAAACTAAGGCGTTGTTCGCTTATCTCACCTCAGTATTTATAGATCATTCGTGCAAGGTAGTTTCTTACTTACTTCCTTGTTTGTCCCTTCCTCGCGCAATCTTGTGCAAAAGTGTAAAACTACGTGTCCACAACCCTCGTGATCAGCACGTGTCCATTGCATTTTTCCAGCTCGACACCAACGATCAAGTCGACCTGTACCGGTTAATTCCGATAAATTGACCCGGTACCATCTCCACAAGGTACAAATGCACATACACATGTTGTCTGGCTCGTACCTTTCTTACTTGTATTCAATTTATTTAGTTAACCTAAATTTCAATTCATTGCAGTTCATTGCGTAATCGGTATTTCTTTGTCTTTCAATGGATTGGTTTTTCTTTTGTGCCGCGAGAATCGTTTTTTTTTTTTTTTTTTCTTATAAACATGTGTTTTTCCATGTATCCAGCCCAACCCATATACTTTCCATCACGATACTAATCGATGATTTTCTTGTAGGTGCCCATTTTGTACGCCCAAGCTCATCACCACACATTTGAAGCCATCGGTGAAAAGTAATCCACAACGAAAAGCAAGTTACTTCACTTTGAAACATGGAAAATTCTGACACAAACAAAATAATGAACTACTTTATATATGCAAAAGATTACTCGATTTCAACCGATGGTGAAGAGTATTACCACGAGAATGGCTTGAAAACATTTGAACAGTTCAAAAGTGATGTGGAACAAATGAAACAAAAACTAGTGGGTTTTAAAGACTCTCCAGTGGAATCGAAAATCATTTACTTGCATTGGGGATACGACTGCAAAGAAGTCGATGAATGGAAAATTAGGACAACTTATTTACAAAAAATGGATCTTAGCCCTTCGACAGATCCGAGAACGATTATTTACTGGTTAAAAAAAAACTGTAACATCGACGATAAGAAAAGTAAAATTAGGTTGCTATACATCATCACAGATGGTATGGTTAATTCAGACAGTGTGGACGAATGTTTCGAACTCAACCAGTATATGCATTATGAAACCGTAGTTTTTCATGCCTTTCATCAAAATTTGGAAGACATCGACCTTTCAGTGGCATCATCTTTCTTCAAGGATCGTTGCATGGTCTACTGCAATAACAAACTTTACGATTCCATTGCAATTGGTGATAATTTCGAGTACGATAAAATCAACATTGATAACTTTGCTTCTGAACAGAATAATTTAACGTCTTACATCAAATTGAAGTTCCTGAAAAAATTCCAAAACAATGCTAATGCTTTGGAAGAAATCGAAAAACTTAAGAAGCTGCGATCTCGACTGTTTGACGAGTTATCATTAAAAACGGAGCAAAAGTGTAAAGTGAACTTGGAAACGAAGGATAGAAATGTTTTCATTCGTGAATTTACTCGCACGGATTGGTACAAGAGTCTTCGTACGAGTATACAAGTGGCGAGGATTGACGTAGAAAAAGCCATCACGGCAATGATAAATTATATCGTTAGTGAAAAAAAAACCTATTCATTCGATGCATTGAAATTTGACATGAAATTTGAAAAACCCGTTGAAGAAGAGCCAATGGTTGACGTGAATTTTACAGACGAGCAAAAAATTGAGTTCCCTGACATCATTTTGGACGATGACAAGGGGATCCCAGTCGTTATTCTAACTGAATTGGATCTGCTGAAAAAAATTATTTTCCATGATACGTACTCAAACAATGTACAACCTGCTAGTTTTAGCAAGTTCAAGTCAACTATGGAATGTCCGTTGTTTTTAGTTAATGATAAAGATATCAGTGAGTCAATCGGTTACTTCTATACTTACGATGTTTACAAACAATTTTTGGCTCACGATAAAAAGACCGAACCACGGACACGAAAACCGTTTCACGGCGGTCTTGTACTGATAGACACGAATCAATTTGACAAGTACAACGACTACATTTTATCAGCAACGTACTTTAATTCAAAAAAGATCCACTTCAATATTGGGCTGTTTTACTACGTGCTTTGGAAAAACTGCCAAAGCAAAGAGTGGATGGATATAAATGTTGCCGAACAGTTCAAGAAGTACGCCATGAGACGCATCAGTGAAACAGTTTGCAAAATTGGCCTCTCATCTTTGCCACTAGACCCCCAAGAAAAGACCTCGCTGCTTACCGCGTTGTGGTACTGCGTTGACTTGTCTTCGTGCATTTTCAAAGCCGATCTCCAATACTTCAATCACGAACGGTTGAGGATGTTCTATGGCGTGGCGCATTGTATGATGGAGATCTTGAAGTACTTTGACTACGATTTGGATATCAAGTCTATTGAGCGGCGTAGGGAAATAATGAGTGAAGTGATGACATTGAAGAGAATCCCAAAACGTGGGGAGAAAGTTTACTATTTGCTGAAAAAAATCTTTAAGACTGTAGACGGATTTTTGGTTAGTGAAATTGAAAAGCCATTCAATCTTTATAAGCTCAATTACTTGAAATTCGAGCACAAAAATATGTTGGACGATAATGTGATTGAAGAAACCGTTCATTTGAATGACTTCGTTCACTTGATGTATTTTGAAGATAATTTGGAAGTCTCCGAAGCCAGTCGTCAAAAAATATTTGAAATTTGCGAAAAGACATTCCGTCCTTTCTTTGCTATCGATCGTAACAAGTCATTTTACACGGAATTAGTCGAGGTTACTAAGAAAGTAGTGATTAACAATGACAATGACGAAGATAAAGTTAAAGTGTCCATTGAGCCCATTGATTCGCTTGAGTTTGATAGGATTCTGTCTCTATACCATTTGTATATCCACTGCGTAGAAGATTTGGAGAAGTATCCCACTTTGCCTGAGTACGTTGAGTATATTTCCAAAAAAAAGAAATTCCGGGATGATTTGGTGACTATTTTTCCATCCAATGTTTACTTGGCTATCAAGCATGTGTACGGCCACTATCAGAAAGTAGTGAGTAAAGTTGGAACAAAAGAATTTCTTGAAGTGTGCAAATCTTGTATTAGTCGAACTGAACGAGTCAAAGTTGAAGGAAAAGTAAAGTTTAATAGTGACGATGAAATTTATAAATTTATTTCTACCGAGGAGTTGAAAGTTAATACAAAAAAAGAAAAATTAATATAAAAAAAGAAAATTTTTATGTCATACAATCACAAGTTCATTGTCAGAATTTGGTAATAAAAAAATTATGATTATAATGTGATGGAAGAAACTATTAAAAAATAATTATCATGTAAATATTGGTGTATTGATCATTTGAGATAACTGATGTATTTTTCATTTATCGATACAGTTATTTACGCGTTTTTTTACCAAGTTTTCCAAATTAAATACTTCTCCAATTACAAAAAAAACCTTTGTGTTTAACTATTTAACTTCATACTGTTATATTTAATATATTTCAATACACAATTTATTTTCTTACTACTTTTTATTTTACTTATAGCTGTTTTCAAGAGCAATCACAAGCTTTTAATACGGTAAGGACGCATAAAATATTGAGATTATTACTATTAAAACTAATAGTTATTCAGAACAATAACTTCACTTTTAGAAATACTAACACAACTTACTGTAAATATAAGAACGTTAAATTTGATTAATAATTACTTTGTATTACAATCATTATTAGAATTAAATAATAGAGATATCAAACCTGCTAACTATTTATAAAATATTGCGATGGTTATGGCAATGAGTAATTATTTATAATGTATAGTCCTCCATAAAATTTGCCCTTTAAATAAAAGGTGAGACAAGTTTGAAACATTCAATTAATACTTTGGATAAGCATGAACTCCGCATATTAAAATTCCTGAAGCCTTTATAGTAACAATGTCAATAAATTGTATTCATGAATGTAAGTCCCTTGCAAAGTTTTGAAATTAAACTCTAAAAACAATCAAATTTTGTTTCGTTATTTGGCGCAACTAACTTTATTCATAACACTTTTAATATTTTACTATCTTGTACTGGTACATTAAAAAAATTAAACTAAGTGATATGACCTTGGACCGGTACTAAGTGCATACCCAACATCTAATAAAATTGTGCCTTGCTTATGTCATAAGTAAATAAAAATATTACGGCTCTAGTTAAAGCTAATTAATGTGAGCTTTGTATGAAATACAAGTTCAAAGTCAATATCATTATGTTTGATTTTGTTAATGTAAACTGTACCAAAAAACGATCTTTTATTTTTTATTCAAAAGGTAAGTTTTATAGAGAATAATACTATATGATCGCAAGGGGCGTGTCCGTGATGTATCACTTAAATACCGCTTTGCTGGGACACTCGAGTCCAAATAAATAATCACTTAGTTTCATACCTGCACACACAACAGAAACGATACCGAAGAAAGCGTGACCAGATTTTTCAATGATCCTTTTTTTCATAAAAGGATCACCTCCGTTCCGCGGCAGCTAATTCAAAAGGAACCACACAGCGCACGAAAGAAGCGGAAAAGTGAAAAAAAAAAAAAAAAAAAGATATTAACTATCTTGCGGGGGCGCTTCGAAATTACTCATTAGCTCGGCTCGGGGGCCTCATCATTATTCCGTACCTTTATTTCTGACGCACAAGCGTGCACCTATACTACTGAGCTCCGTGCAGTTGTGCTACTGCAATCAAGCGTAGCCCCCGAAAAGTTGAACAAAAAATAGGAGTAGGCGCCTACCCAAATGACAACGAGACTCAAATAAAACTGACGTCGAGTCCAGAGACTTCCGGCCGAATTAACGAGTGCTGCTATACTCAACACAGAGATGATGCAGTACCCAGTGCTAAAAACCCCACACACACACATTTTGGTGAGGGGCTCCTTGATTCTTCCCCTTTGTTTCGTTTACACTTTGGGTACAACGTATGGTGGCTGTGTTTATTTCTTCGCTTCGTCCTTACCAGAGTGTACGTCTATTTTGAAGATTCCCTGTGTTTTTTTTGCCTCGAGGCCGCGTAGAGGTGCGTTATCTGGAAGAGGATGTGCGCCTACGAGTACTACGAGCTCTGCTTGTTTCTCTTGTCTTAATGGAGCTTGAAAGCCAGGGCTGGGAGGATTTTTACGCAAGCCCGTAAAATTGACGAGGTAAGCAGAATAATGTAGCTGTTGGATCGATTGAGCAACAATCCTGGAGCCGAAAAACAATGATGAAAAATCGTGGATTCGGATGGTGTAGGAGAACACCTTGAGTTGTCGATTATGGGGTGGTTTTTTAAAAAACGGAGGTGGGTAGAGATCATGATAACTTAAAGGCGCTGTTTCTGCAAAATGAAATAACAAAGAGAAGGTTGCCTTTGAACAGAGTTGATTCCATTAGTGGGTAAAGTGAAGCTTTAACGTTTCTCTCCATAGTTTTCCGTTATTCGTCGAGACTCGAAGTGTTTCCTAATGGGTTGGGAAAACATTTGGAGCATTGTTTACCTCAAGGAAACATCTCGAGTAGTTTTCGATCGTTGAACAATATTTGGAAGTAATTCTCGGTCGACAAGAAACAAAATGTGTTTTTTTCACTTTTGTTCCCTCTCATTGTCAGAGAGACTAGACATGCTCTTGTCAAACCGTTATGCATAACGCCTCTTAGAAATTGATACCAATCATCGCAAACACATCAATTTACGAGTCTCTGTTTCTTTTCAATGATATCAAGTAATCGTACCAAATGAACCGACATGAATCTCTGGTACTCTGTCGATGCATTTCCACGAAACGATTGCCGTTCCATCGCGAACATATCATTTCGAGTCATCTCCCCATAAATTGATATTTGTAGTCTCGGAGCTCCGTCGGCGGATTATTAAAATGACCAACCGATGGCACAATCCAACGAAGGGAGGGAAAGAAATCACGTGAGATCAGAAAAAAGAGAGAGAGAGAGAGAGAGAAAGCGCACTTTATCACCCAATAAATTGATAAAGTCAATTAAGCGCGCCCCGGCTGTGGTCCAAGCCGCACACGCAAAAGTGAAAACAAAAAGAAGCGCTCGCCTTATGAGAAAGTCTTAAATCATGGGAGAGCAGCCCCGGGATTCGAAGTCCCGAACGTTGCAATAATAATTCCCCCGAAACGCCCGCAATAAGTACCCCCACGAGCTCGTGCACGCGTATATTATATGCATGTACGCGTGCGTGTATTGTAGCATGGATGTCGTCTTTTGTAGGTGCGTGAGTGTGTGTGTGTGCTCCTCGAGGTATATAAATCATATGTGATTTTATGGCCCCACGCGAAAATTCTCGCATAATTAATGTTTTTCTCATTATCCCTTCGATCCTGTGTTACTTATTCAAATTTATTTGACAACAAAGATTTTCAATATTAGACCGTCGAAGAATAAATAAGTGGCTTATTTCATGCAAAAAAGATTTTTATTACGTACATTCTCATGACACCACTGATACAATCATCACAAAAGCATCAAAATGTATAATTATGAATTGCATTTAATTTAGTACTGAAAAATTAAATAAATTAAAATGTAGTACAGTCTAAAATAATAATTTATTTTGCCGAAAAAAATTTTTATTCGTTTAAATTAAGAAGAACTTTATATGATAAATAAAGGGGGAAGAAAAAGATGAAGACTTGCCGAAAAGTATGCTTCAGCTTCCAATTGTTCCTGCAGTTCCTTAGTCTGCAACTGATCGACATTTCTCTGAGTTTTGAGGTGATGCAGCTCATCTTCGATCTGACGCTNTATTGCAAATGCACGTTTATGTTTTACAAATAGACATTTATGAATTAAAAAAATTCTAAAAATTCAACCACTAATTTCCTTTGCTCTGTAGTATTATCACATTTAAATGTTGTGAATAAAACTGATTTTCGATTTAAAACATCGTACAACAATGAGATATTTATAAAAATCACTTTTACTCATGATAAAATTAACTTGAGATATATACTCTTCAAACTCAATGACGAATACCAAGTACTCAAGATGTTGCATTTCGTAGTTTCTGTACACCCCAAGCTCTGAAAAAGTGAAAGCCACCACTTGGATATTAGAATTCCCGACAGAGCGGGAAAAAAGAGTGGTGGAGACCGAGAGACACGCATAAGCGGAAGTAGATTGCACGTATGGATATGCGCGGCGCGACGGCAAAGGGTCGGCTTCCAGACAAACACTGAGCAATCCCGTATGCGCGGAAGACGGAGGACAAGAGCAACAGGCCATCGCGCGATACCTCGCACGACGCATACAAGTACAGGAGCTTCAAAAGCTCGAATTGTCGTACGCAGAGTACTCCATAGGGACTCCTTGGAGCATATTCCTCAAAAGGGGGCTCCTACTTTTTGGTTGGCTTGGAACATTCACTTGATACATGAGTTTTTACGACTGCCCCATTCTTTCTGTGGTAATATGTGTGTCTGCAGTATCGAGATTGGGAATTTGTACTAGATGAACCAGCACCTAAGAAGAGTTTTTCAAGTCCTTGTGGTGGTCCTCATGGAAATCATGGGACTGCCAATCTCCATCGCATTATAGAAGAGATATTAAGAAGTCTCCTTGTTTAATGAGAGCGTGCTCTTCTACGCGAAATAATTATAATTTTCGATCGTCTACTAGAGTCAAGCAATGGTTAAAAATTTTTTGTCACACATTTCCGTGAATCCTCGTTGAAATCCATGCATTTTGTGTAGGATTCACGTATGGTCAAACGCAAAAACGAAAAGCGATAAATAAAGCCGGAGAAATAAGAGCGTGCAATAATAGCTGTGACTGTTTTTTTTTTTTTTTTTCACAACAGTCGATCGCGCGTAAACAAACGGGGTAAAGCGTCCCGTTTAAATCTCCATGCATTCACGAGGACGTAAATTTATGTTTAAAACATTCATACAACACAATTCGAAAATTGCCAACGAAACAGTTTACACTTTGCAGCGGCGCGCTCGCTTCGAGCAAAAATTTATTCGCCCGCGGAAAATACGTGAGCGATCGATACTCGCCAGCGATGGTGTTTTCGAGAAGCTCGAACACAAATAGGAGAGCGCCAACGATTAAACTTTGACGCGAAAAGTGCTGTGCACATCAAACCGCGGCGCTGGAGACAAGAGAGCAGTGGCGGGCTGATGATGCGCGTGGAAAAAAGAAGGGAAGAAAAATCCATGCCAAAGTCGCATTAATGAGGAGCGGGTGGGTTGAACGCTCGGTTTATGCGCTCGCCTATACACGTACACAAAGTGCATTGCGCAACACAGAGCCGAGTTATATTTCCACCGGGCTTCTTCTTCTTCTTCTTCTCCGTTTTTTTTTTTTTTTTTTTTCTGATGGAGGTTACTGTATTTTAATATTTTTCACACGTGGCACCGATAAATTTTTCTTCCTCTCCTCAGTGCAACCATCCAACAGCTCATGCAAATTTTCTCTCGTATGTAAAGTACGCGAGTAAAATGACGTGTGTGCACAGCGGTTGTCGATCGTAACACACGTGTCGTAATAGCCGGTCGATTTTGCCGAGAGTCGCCTGTCATAGAGACACACATTATCCACTCGTGAAACACGTTGTAGGTAAACACGTATATTTTTTGTTTCTCTCTTTTCTTCTGAACTATGTCTGCGGTTTTTCTGGGCGAGACGCGTGCGGTCGCGTTTTACAAGACCCGCGTGCGCCTTTTTTTTTCGTCGAGTCGTCAACGATACAGATCGGGCTGTTAAAAGTCGCGCTGCCGAGTAGCTCTCCAACGGTCCCGCAATTGAGTTCCAAAGTGCCAGAGTGGATTAAGATGTTTGTGGAGAGCCAGATTGATATTGCGGTGCAAGAGCGGCGATTTCGATGCAAGAACTCATTCACAGCCTGTTTGCGCGTTTGAATCGGCTATTGGGGGCGAAAAATTTTAATTGAGGGAGAGAGAGATGATACCGAATCGGCAGTGCGCGCACAATAGTGTGACGAGCGTTGCGTAAGTGATATCAATTTCCGAGCTCGATTGGTCGAAGATGTGTAGAATGAAGTTGTGATGATGGCGAGCGGCGATTGGAGAAAGTATCGGTTGAGAGCTGATTTAGCTCATTGATATCCGATTTTAAAACCATTTCGAGGCATATTCCGTGATCGGTAAATTCATTTTTTAAATACTTCATGATGGCTTTCTTATCGCTGCTCTTGTGTTTGTTTTCCGATGGGCGATGTTTCATTGCTAAATTGGACGTTTAACAATGATTATCTGACGCGTATTTGATGAATCTGTGATCCGTATAGTCGGTACTTTTTTTACAAAGGGATACAAACAAAAAAAGTTTATAAAACATTGAAAAGTAAACTTTGGCCAAGATCGGTTGATTTGTATGAAAAAGCATAAGTATATTAGAAAATGCTTTGTTCACATTTTACTGTTTTCTTTTTATTTTTACAAATTTCGAAGCGTATATTTTGCAATAAATTATTATTATTTTATTAGTATTACCAATTTTAATAGCTTTAAACTGTAATAGCTAGTGCTTGAAGGTTACTGGACGTAGAAAATCCTGTATAATGTTGTGTATACTTGCTAGTATTTTAAACCTTAAGTAGTAATGTTTTTGTTTTTATTTTTTTCTTTACTAATAAGTATGAATGGGAGTAGATTCTTTTTACATCTAAGTACACATGAGCTATACGTTGAATAAGATAACATACTCACAGCCACAAGTATTGCAGAGTGATAAAAGTGAAAAACTAAAATACTCAATTTGCTGTAGTATATTTACTTATCGGCACAACTAAAAATTTCAAAATGATCCTGTATTACTGACAGATACAGGATTATTAATAAGAGTCATCTCAACTAAGGTAATGTGTTTGTTAAATAGTACCTCTTCTGCTTGAATCTGATTTTTTAATATTTTTTGTCTTAGATCTTACATTGGACGTCTATATTTTGCTTCCCACAGCTAGTTAATATTTATCGTTTGGGAAAACATTGTTTTGTTGATTGAGGATGATAAAAGAGTTTAAAAAAAATAAATTTGATCATCATTAAAAGTCTTATCCCATGATTTACTATTTGGTAAAGTTTATATCTTAAAAATAATCGCAGCTTTCATGTGCTGAACAAAAACCCTCCGATAACCTATTTTGGAGTAAAAAAAAAAAACAAAACCTAAAAAAATCATTCATCTTGCATACGTCAAATAACAAAACCCAAATTAATAAATAGTTTACAGCTGATGTTTCTTCAACATAAAAATTTGTACCAAAGTCAACAATTTTCTTGTCTACTGGAAATTCCCGTCATTTTAATTCTTTTTATTTATGAAATAGAAAATAGATTACCCGTAAAAAACGGAGCTCTTACCTCAGAAAACGCAAACAGCGATAGCAAGCAACAGATAGCCAAGAGATACCCTTCAGCAAGTCAAATTAAAATAAAAATTTATAAAGAAAATCACACCACAATCAATCACTTGCGTCAATCCTCCAAAGTCTCCGCTATTAAATAAAATATAAGCGTCGACTTGCCAAGTCCATCAACACCCCGAACTTCCAAAACATCCTCACATTTAACTTTCCTTTTCACCGGCTTACTCATACTTTCCCTTCTTTTTTAAAATCTTCTTCATCCATCTCAACATTTACTCATCAAACAACAATCTGCGCTCTTGATTTCACTCGCGATTCGCATGGGGTGAAAAAGAAAAAACAAGAAAAATTGAAAGAAAAGTGGCCAATAACGCTCATGGAAATCTCAAAGAGCGCGAGAGCGAGAGTAAAAGACACAAGGCTCCCTTGATGCAGTCTACCCGCGCGGCGTCCCGCGACCGACTGACTACGGAATCGCGGCGGGCGACGCGTGACCAGCGCCGCTCCGTGACCCGGCGGCGACATCAGTAACTGCTGGAGCCGCAGCATCAGCCCAGACAGCCCCACCGGCCTTCACGTGTAGTGCAGCAGTATACCCCATACACACACACACACGTGCTCTCATCTCGCGCGTGATGTTTATTTGGACATAAGTATATACAAGCGCTCTTCCACCCCTCGCCCTTTTCGATCTCATCCTCCTTACGTGGTGGTGTTTAGTTTGTTTATTGGGAGATATTTTTGGATTGGATTTTTCTGCCCAACGAGAGCGGAATTTTTTTTTTTCTATGTCTAAACTTAATAATTTTAGGCTGGATAATAATAATCTTGAATTAAAGTTTTTAATTGTAAAATGTTAGGAAACGGTATGCTTAGGTGGTACTTTATTGTATTGTTCGGTACACGGAAGAAACACTTTTCATAAAAATAAAGAAGAAGAAAAAAAAAAAGAAAAATAAATCATGACAGTCCAAAAAAAAGGATACTTTTTATCAGCATAGCAAAGTATATTAATTTAACTTACTTTTATCTATAAAGCTTTCTCAACAAACGATTTATACTTGCTACTAGCAGATCAATGAGGGATAAGTATCCAGTTAATGGGCACAAAAACTGTTGAGTTTAGAATGTATTATTGTACTAACAAGTTGTAGAAGATTGTAACGGAGCAGTGGAAGTAGGGAAAGTTATGGTTAGAGACGATTAGTAATACGTAGTAATGTTAGTGTTGATGACTGAAAATTTTTTAATCTTGTAGCTAATAATTTTGTATCCCTCGTAGATAACAGATCCTTTGAAATGAATTTATATGTACAGGTAGTGGTTTTGCCTAAATTATTTTGATAAGGTGGAAGACACATTAGCATTCTGTTGAAGAAATGTCATGAAATTACTACTTAAAATTATGACAAATAATTTAATTTAGCATCAAAATTTTATTTTTCAAACTTACTGTTCTCTTACATTGCCTTTTGAATTTAATTTACAAGTACAAGTAAACAAAAAAAATTTCTCAACGCTTATAATGACTGTAACTGTGATTACAGTAAACTTTCAAAATTTTGTAAGATGCACCGCATACCACACAAATGTAGAGGTCTCCTCCGGTGCTCGTTTTGTACACTGGTGCAACTGGAGCACGTACGCAGTAGGGTTCGAATGTTATTCTGCTGTAAACAAAGACAAATCGAGTATTTAGTAGGTAATATCAGTTATCAATGATAAATTATATCATGATTATATTATATCAATGAAGAATTTGATCGAACTATGAACATTTTTTTACACTTTCATTATTACTTTGAATGATACTGTAAGCTCAGACACACCTGTTCAAGAAATTCAGAGACATTATAGGATAATATTTCAATAAAAAATTATTGTATACGTCTTGACGATCGTTTATACTAATCATCGAAAGATTTGTAGGTTAAATCATGCTACAGCGTGCTCTCCTCAATCCATAATTTCAATAGTTTTTATGAATCTAAATCTAGCAGTTACTTAAATCCACATGAAATGTGGAAATTTTTTTTAACTTAAAAATTATTATCATTTGTAAATAAATATATTACAGCACGGAGCGTTTGTATCAAGTTTAATGCAATAGTTACCATCAATGTTCCATTTTTTTTTTTTAAGTTTTTTGGAAAAAAAAATTCCTCATATTACTTAAATAAGTTTCAGGTAACAAAAGAAACTTACCTGTTCCTATTTGATAAGAATTCTTGGGTACTATTATCATAGTAACGATGATTAAATGATGTTTGTGTTCTCCAAGTACTTGTCCCATCATATTTATTTGACGGATGCATCGTAAGGTATATTATTTACCCAACAACAGGCCCAATGTCGTTTCTTGACCAATTTAAAAATTCTTCTTGAACTTTTACTTTTCACGATGATAATATACAGTTCTGAATGTAGTACTGATTATACATAAATGATTTTTTGGCTCAAGCAAAGAATAAGTATTAATGTGTTCTCACAAAACTTTTTAAGGCAATAATTAAAAAACTGTGATCCATACAGTTGAGCAGACAAAAATCAAATGTTTTTACAATAAATTCATTTCAAAGTCTCACTATTTCTGTTAGTTACGAAAGATGTCGAAATCGTTAATAGTATTATAATAGCTACAATAGTTGCCTATTGTACGACACGTGTGGAAGAGTAACAAGTTGCAGAAGTCTGACTTTTTGCTGTTTGGGGGGAGGGCAAGAGATCATGGTAAGGAGACATTTGAGAGTACGCTATTATTTGTTGAGCAATTCGAAAATTTTTAATAATATATTTTTTGGCAGCTCTAATTGCATTTTTTTTTGTACGATAAACTGATTGTATAAGTTATTATTAAAAAGTTTCGGATTTTTTACATTTTTATACGACGATCATTGCTGATGATGATGCCTGACAGTGATAGAGTCAGTTTCTATTTTTAAACGGTCACTCAGCGAATAGAGGCTTGATTGATTTTAAAAACATCTACCAACCAAAAGATTTCCTATTGCTTCATTTCCAAAGATAAGGTTGGATTCTTTTTTATTGTCAATTCTACCAAAATGTAGTGCAAAAAAAAACAATCGTCAAAGACGTAAAGTTCTTACCCCAAGAGTCCCAAAATTACAAACGAAACTGTGTCTCTAGTACCATTGTACCACTGAATTCTTCACAGATCATCACCTGCTCGCACACAAAAGAACAAGAGCATGCCTCACACGTCGCCACAGAGTCACAGCAGGCAAGCATTATCAGGTAGGCAAACTCAGGCTGCACACGCAGTAGGCCCGTCCAAATTTTCCGTATTTCTTGACAATGAGTGACTAATGTGCGAACAAGCCACCACTCGGCAACCTTTCGCTTCCCTACCATAATAACGTATATAGTGTCATTACAGGAGGATAATACCCTCGAGGGTGGCAGCTAGAGATGGGGGGGGGGGGAGAGAGGGATACAAAGGTGTGCGAGTGTATGCGAAGGTGCAGGTATTCCCAAGCGGGTGGGCGGCAAAAGTTTCATTGCCCCAAGAGCGGCGGACTCGTTTGGGCGTTGGCATGCTAAATTGAGATCAATGCACGGGCCGTCCCTATGGGCCCCGCAACCTCACCCCCCTTCTCGTGCCTCTTTTTTTCCCGATAAAATAATGCCCGAAGCGCGCAATGGCTTGCAGGGGCTGCTTTTTTTTCCCCTTTCTTTCCTTTGTCGCCGAAACAAAAACTATAGACGCGTGCGGGTATACCAGGACTATGAAGAGAAGCCGGGGTGTCGTTTCGTGGTCGAGAGCGAAATGATGTTTCAGAGGAGGTGGATAAGGAGGAGGATATGCCGCGGAATGGAGAAATAGTGGGGAAGTACGTGACAGGAGGGATATAATGCTGTAAATCACTCCGGGGCGGCATAGGAGCACCGGTGAGAGAGAACGGTAATGGCTACATCGGGAAATCGAGGAATTATTGAATCCCGGCTCGTGCTCGTGGATATGTGTGTGTGTACTTTGGCCGGGGAGGGAAAAAAAGTGTCTTTATTCGTAATGGAGAATTATGTCGGGTCGCCTTTTCTCTTTTTCCAAGGGGTGTAGGCTGGGGCTTGTGGATGGCCAAATAATTGAAAGGGAAACAGTGGTCGATAGGTAATTTTGAGGTACAATTAATCTCTTAAAAATGGGACGAAGAGTGAATCATCGGATACAGCGGGGGAGTCCATTGGTGGTTATTTAATGGTACGAGCGGTGGCGGATTGTGTGTTTCGGGAGTGAGAGCAACGAGGTCAGGAGTGACTCCGTGTATTGAATGTATGAAACTTTGACGGGAGTACATGTCATTCTCGTTGGGATTCGTCTTGAAAATAATTTCATCCGAGTGATATACAGATTGTCCAAAAGTTTTTCAGCTACATGTCCGAGTATGTGATCGTAAAATAATACACTTACTTTAGGTACAGCTCTGGAAGATAGTGACACACTTTAACGAGCAATTTACTTTGGAAACAATTCTATGACTAAATTGCCAAGAACGTTTTTGAATCTGTTATTGGCTTGTTACTATCAAGTTGTAAATCTCCCAATTTCAACATCAGGTTAAAATACTAGTGATTCAAATTGCGATTTTATAAAATTTTGATAAGATCTGCAGTGCGTGAGCCTCGAAAAATAATCATCACTCGACTTTGACCGGCTAGTAAAGAGATATCATGGCATTACCCAAAGTAATAAAATGCCACAGATCAGTTCTTACTTTCTCAATAAAAGCATATTATTCCCCGAAAAGACAAATCAGTTTAGTAACATCCCAATGGTTGTTCTCTGGTACAAATCCAAGGATCCCGAATTTCTGTACATAACACCCTCCCCCTGCAATGACGTACTGGGCGTAACTCGCACGAAAAACAATGAAAGTAGGCTCGCTGCAAGAAACAAGACGGGAGGTTACATACGGAGAAGTAGAACCCGCGCACGACGAGAAAACGTAATAGATAAAGGAACAAAAAGAAGGTCGAAACAAGGTACGGTACACGGGCTCGGGGAGAAAAAAAAAGGAAGGAGGGATCAGGTATACGCACGCGAAAAATGAAG